GAACCAGAAAATGGCAAATCCCCTCAAAAAAGAGCATATATTGGAGCAGATAGGAATAAGACATATCTTCTCCTTCAGAATGAGTGGAGATAATTTAATTAGACAAAGTAAAGACTTACCCAAGCCATATTCCAGTTTCAGATTTCATAGGGTTCATTTTAGGGTTTTTTTGTTGTTAAAATTAAATTTAGGATGCTAATGATTTTTTTTTCTCAGATGACCCATACTTCTAGTTCAGATCTAAGCTCTTTTTCTCCTTTTGCAGTCCTTTTTGCCTAGCTTTGGCAGCAAAACTGATTTTCCCTGTCTGGGGCATATGCACCCATACACCAGTGTAAGAGGCTGTGAGATGACTGCCCAGGCTCTTGTTAAAATTAGCAGGTAGAAAATGATAACACTATATGGAGCCTCAAGAACAAATCAGGTCACTCCAAAGTAGGCAGCAGTGAATGCCTGCTCAACTTACCCCTCAACTACGCTGCTTACATTAATTACATGTCTGCTGAATGTAATGAGAGTTGTAGACCTTGGTCACCTGTAGAAGCGTACATTTGCATGCCAATATTGAGACATTCGAATCTCTATCTGAATCTTGCCTCTATAGTCAGATGAGTTGAATTGCAACCTAGGTTTTCCCTATCTGGACTTGGCACAAACTGTGCTGAAAGTCTAGGGTTGCTCAGAGATACAGTTTAGGGGTTTACAAAACATTTGTACAATGTATCCTGCTCAAAAACACAGTTTTACTCATTTCAAAGCACATCATAAATAATGCCCATTTCATCACTTGAAATCAGCCATTCTCTAAAGATATCTTTTCCCTCCACTGAATGTAGACCAGTAACTAGCTTAGACTAGATGCCTAATTTTTGGATGATTCAAATCCAGTGAAATTAATTTGTTCTAGACAGAAGAACATGAGATGCTATGTATACTTTTATTAGAATTTTGATTTTCTACCAAAAACAAACAAATGAACAAATAAACAAAGAAAAAACACTCCGCAAAAATGACATGATTAAGGTGATAACTTTTTACCCATGCTATGCAGGTTAGCCATTAGATGGCGTCAAATCATCGTGATCATTTGCAGAAAATTTTGGCAACCAGGCCCTTAGCAAATATTAAAGTTATAAGAGAAATAAGCCTACACTTGAATCCTGGTAATGTTATTGCTATGTTGAGAAGCCTATTCATGTTTCAAGAGCATTTAGCACTATATTAACAGCCTACAGAAATAGTATTCGTCAGTTTGCAGTTGAAGGGAATACTAGAAGCACTTCCAGCAGTGCTTAGATATCCGTAAAATACCTATACGACAAATTGTTTCATAAAGACAGTTGCACACTGAGATGATGGCAGCATTTCAAGTGTTTGTTTTACTCTCCCTTGAGAAGATCAGGGTCTCCTGTGTCCAAAGCATAAGCATAAAATCTCTGGCAGCTCCCAGCAACCCTATTATACAAATCTTGGAAAAGACTATCTCTTTCCCTGGTAAGTGAGTT